AATAGCTCTAACTTTGAACCCCCCAAAGGCTGCAACTCAGAGTCAACAACTTGATGCAATGCACCACCAATGGCATAGTCTGATGCTTCTACATGTAATGCGAGTGTGGCAGTTGGAGAAGGGTGGGCAAGTAATGTGGCACTAGCTAGAGCTTGTTTACAGTTGTCAAAAGCTGCAGTTCAGTGTGAAGTCCAAATAATCTTTTTCTTGGAATCTTTCTTGCCGGAGGAACCTTTAAGAAGTGCACTTAAGATGGCTTGGCTATCAGCTGCTTTAGGTAAAAATCTCCGATAGAAATTTACAAGGCCTAAGAATTTGCGAAGATTCCCAATAGTTTCAGGCAATTTAAAATTTAGAACTACTTGAACCTTATCTGGTAAGGGTTTCAAACCTTTTGGACAAATAAGATGACCAAGGAACTCAAGTTCACTAACACCAAATACACATTTTGAAATATTCAGCTTGAGGCCATAATCACTAAGGCGTTGAAAGATTGTGTGTAAATGCTCTTTATGTTCTGCAGCATCTTTTGAAAACACTAAAATATCATCCAAATATACATAACAAAATAGAAGACCCCTGAGAACTTCATGCATAAAACGCATAAATGTTTGTGGAGCATTCACTAGTCCAAAGCACAACCGAGTGTATTCATAAAGGCCCCATGGGGTAGTCACTGCTGTTTTGTGAATGTCCTCCTCTGCAATGGGAATCTGATGAAATGCCTTAAAAATATCAAGTTTTGAAAAAATTTTCTTATCATATAGTGAGTGTGCAAAGTCCTGCAAATAAGGTATAGGATAACTGTCAAATTCAGTAACAGAATTGAGCTTTCGGTAATCACCCACAGGACGAACTGTAGAATCATGTTTTGGTACAACATGCAGAGGCGAACTCCATAGGCTCTTTGATGGACGAATTACACCTTGCTCCAAAAGAAATTCAAACTCTGCCTGATATATTTTGGGATGAAGCCTTATAGGTTTTGATGTCACAAGTGGTCCACGAGTCAAGATATGATGCACAGTATTATGAGGAACAGCCTGCTTAAGTAATGTAGGATTTGTTATATCTGGAAATTGGGATAATAGGGACTCATAATTTGAGGTAGCAGAAAGAGTCACAATAGATGGTTGGCCTGTATGGACAGTACTGCCATAAGTACACAATGCAGTTTTAGGATTGACAAGACACTTGCGCTTCAGATCCACAAGAAGATTAAAGTGTAGCAAAAAGTCTGCACCAATGATAGGAGAACTTACATCCGCAATCACAAATGTCCAAGCAAAGGCTTCCTCAGACCTAAGTCTAATTGTCTGTGAACAAATCCATAAGCAGATATCTTACTGTTATTAGCAGCAAAAATCAAAAGAGGGAGGAGGTAATGCAGAAATCTCACTCCCGGAATCGATCAAAAACTTCTGGCCAGTCTTTCGGTCATGGATAAATAAGCGACTAGGCTTTCTGACACCATCTGCCAACCCAGCTATGACGGGGGTGTGGTGTTTTTTTGTTGTCTAAAATTACACGGCATTTGACACTTCCTGGCTTTAATCCCAAACCGGTTGTGGTAAAAGCACAAGTTTAGATCTTCACCTTTACTTGAGCGGGGTCGGAACCTGGTCGCCCTTTGGCTGTGAGACAACTCAGAAATTTGCAGCTGAAGCGCCTCAATTTGCTTCGCAAGCTTTTCAGTAGTAATGCATGCTGAGTTATCAGGTGAAGTTACATTACTTGATGTTGCACAAATCACACCTGGCTGAACGACTTCAGCGACTTTATCAGCAAGCTGATCAAGTTTTTCAGAAGAAGCTGATAATACAGTTTGGATATGGGCCGGCATCCTCTGCATCCATAACTTTTGCAAAAAATCATCATTAAGTTGATTTCCAGAGAGCTTTTTCATCTAGTGGAGAAGATGGCTGGGGCGTTCATCACCGAGTTGTAACTCGGTCAAAAGTTTTTTAATTTTGAGTTGCTCAGAATCCTCAAACTCACTAACGAGTCTGGCGCACAGCTTCTTATATTTGTCCGAGTCCGGAGGATTGAGAACAATATCAGAGACATGGGCAAGCTTCTCACCATCGATGTTAGCGATGAGGGCAGAAAACTTTGTTTGATCGCTGGAAATGCCACTGTATGTAAAAGCATTGTCACATTGTGCTATCCACAATCGCACGTTTGCTTTCCAGAAAGGAGGGATACGCAGAGCAACTTGAGTCTGTTGCTCATCAATAGGCATCTTGTAGGATAGTTAAAAGCAGTTTAAAGAGATCTGGAACAGCAGTGGGCTTAAAAAACGTGGTCAAAAAATCAGCTCATTCTTAGTCCTTGGGTCACCACTGAGGAATGGGTTGCGTTGAGAAAGAATGAGAGATTATATATGGACCATCACATTTTTATTATATCACATTTAAAGAATAATTAAATTAAAAAATAAGGAGTTAACATTAGGATGAGAAGATACAACAACAAACAAAGCACGCTTAATCAACCGATCAACTGAACTCTTCACTTCAGTTCAGCATTGCTGTGAACTGCAGATACATCACGCACTTAAGTGCAGTTCTGACTGGAACAGTACTCGCCACAAGTCCATTGACATAAACGAACAGCCGCTTTCATATTGGCCGCATTGCTTGTTGTGACACAAATAATTTTTGAAAGATTTCATTTTTTTACTACACATGAAAATTCTCTGCACAGATAGTCTGCAGAGTGACTCTCTGGCATTTCAAAGCATTGCATTCACTATCGACAAAATGCGAAGTTATTGCAATATAGCTTTTGCCGATGAAGTTCTAGCATCTGTTGTTAAAGCGACTCCTTCTATGCCAGGGTCCGATACTTGGCTCTTGATCATTTCCATTGTTTTCTCATAAACAGAAGTTCTAGCATCTGTTGTTAAAGCGACTCCTTCTATGCCAGGGTCCGATACTTGACTCTTGATCATTTCCATTGTTTCAGAGATGCCAACTTCTCCGGACAAGCCAAAATAATTAAAAATACGGTAAACAACTACTAAGTAAATTTTGCAAATATTTTACTATTTTTGATTGCTTTTTAAGTGTTACAGCATGACTTAAGCATTATAAAGTGGAGAATGATATAAGCCTACGAATTATATAGAAATAGTGGTTAATAAAAATCTACTAAATTGAATTTATTAAACCAAGAACCACAATTGATAAACTACCAATTTAAAATATGTATTTGCTGTCCGGAGCAAGTTGGCATCTCTGTTGTTTTCTCATAAACAGATGGGATTAAGCTGGTTGTTAGAACTTTTCTGCCAGGCAAATTATAGGAACTGTTTAGCTTCTCAATAAATTTTTTAAACTCTTTATCCTCTACAATATAAAGGGGGTGGTATTCTTTACATACCATTTTCACTAATTGATTGTCCTACAGTTTCCGTTGCGGGACATTTATTGGACGTGAAAAATAGCTTGCTATGTTTCGTTGAACCTTTCTTTGTTGTGTGAGTTCTTCTGTGTCATGTGAAGTACTTGCTGTATCAACATTCATAATAATCTCTTCTGGGTTGTCATAATCTACGTTCAACGGAGAATCTTCAGTAATAGCAGTCTCTGGATTGGTCTGTTTTGGTCTTTTAAACTTAGTAAATGGATGTTTTGAACTCATATGCCGCATTAAATTACTGGTTGAAGATTTTGAAAATGTAATTATTTTTTTACAAATCGAAAATTTAGCTTTATTATCCCCTAGATAACAGAAATGGGTCCAAATTTCGCTGCGCTTACGCGATTCCATTATTTCAATAGGCACGGGAATATTATCAGCTTCTTTAACGCGCAGCGTCGAGATGAGCAAAGAATTAATACTGATACTGAACTGATTCCAACAGTTGCTTAAAAACAGAAAGTAAGTTGATTGGGGAGTTGATTTTGTCCGCTGGAAAGAGAGAGACGCTGCAAAAAACCCCTTTGCGGTTGCGCCTTCGCCCTGTCCTACTTGGGGAAATTAAGTACCCTCACAGCTGTCCACTTTAGTCAACACCCTGTGAATTTCGGTTTGTCTTCCCCATTAACTACTAAATTCCGCCGGACACAGCTAATGCATAAGAATTTAGGAAAAAAATCGAAGAGAAATTAATGGTTATTTTTTTGTTACTTAAACTATATGTTAATTAATCTTCAAATTAAGTCCTGAGACAATAATTTTTTAATCAAAGATTCAAAGTAACCTGTTTTGCGCCCTATCTATCGAGATAAATTACTTTGAATAAGAATCCCTACATGTTCCAACAACTGACATTGAAGTGATTTTAATGATGATTTAAATGTGTTTATACAAAAATAATTATTAAAAAA